CTCGAGAAGTGGGCCAGTGGGAATATCCCACTGTTTAACAAGACCAACTGCAAGGTGCTGCACCTGGATAAGGGCAGCCACTGGTATCAATACAGGCTGGGGGATGATCAAGAGCAGCTCCGCTAAGAAGGAGTTCAGGGGCTGGTGGATGAGAGGCTGGACATGAGCTGGCAACTGTCTCCTGGGCTGCATCAAAAGGAGCATGGCCAGCAGGCCAACGGAGGTGATTCTGTATGTTGATGCTGGAATAACAAGGCCTACAGTCAGCAATCAGGAGGTCATGAAGCCAAAGAGCTGGGATCCCTTGCTAAAGAGGCACTGGAAAAGAGGCAGCAATTTGCAGTCTCAGGAGATGGCTCGTCTCAAGTGTGAGGGCAAGATACACATTTAAGGAAGATCTTGTGAACTTCCCAAGAAAGTGGACCACTCCAGATAAAGGTATCCAGTACTTGAGAGAACTAGCAGTGCTAATGAGAAGTCATCTATAGTAATCTAGGACATGATAACACCCCTAAAGACCCAGAGGATGAACCTTGTACAAAGGCCAGGTGGAGGAAGGTGGTTCAAAATGCCCCTGCATCATATTCCAACAGCCTGGTGGCATCATATTACCCAAAGATGGGTTCACCAGCTGTAGAGGTGATGTCCTCCTGGCTTCAAAACATAGAATAAACTCTAGGCGCTTCCTCATTCCTACGGGCCAGCACCTCAGCCCTCAAGGGAAGCCCGAGATCGGTCCCCTCCCCAGTCAGAGGGAAAGGAAGCCCCAAGCACAGGCCATGTAGTGAACTCTGGTTCTTTCTGCATGACCACAGGGAAGACAAAAGGAAGTGGGATGGCAAGCCCACCTTTAAGCTGGAAGCCCGGGTATGTGAATTGAGAGGAAAGAGAACTGTTAAGAAGGGGTTATCCAAGAAGGCTGTCAATGTAGTTGCCACAGAGATCCAAGAAAGCAATCAGCAACCTCCCATACATGAAAGGACTTAAATCAACTCCTTTGATCCTGGTGAGGGGACTTCTGATCTGGCATCACAAAGGTCAGACAGTGAATACTCTAACCAGGAACAGGAATAGAGGGTCCCTGCCTTCAGCCAGGAGAAGGAAAGGGATGACAGGGCCTACTGGACTGTGTGGATTTGACAGCCTGGCACATAAGATCCACAGAGGTATAGAGCTTTGGTAGATATGGGTGCACAGTGCACACTGATGCCATCAAGACACAGGAGTGCAGAACCCAACTGGACCTCTGGAGTGACAGGAGGATGCCAAAAATTGTCTGTATTAGAGGCCGACATGAGCACAGCAGCGGACAAGTGGGAAAAGCACCCTATTGTGACTGGCCCAGAGGCCCCTTGTATCCTTGGCATCGGTTACCTCAGGAGAGGGTATTTCAAGAGTCCAAAGTAGTACCAATGGGCTTTTGTTGTAGCTACTGTGAATACAGAGAAGATCAGGCAGCTATCTACCCTGTCTGGCCTCTCAGAAGGTCTCTTCATCATGGGATGATGATGATGGGGCCCCATTTCAAGTGGGGCCTTGAACAACAAGCCTTTGATCAGATCAAACAAGAGATGGCCATGTGGTAGCTCTGGGGTCTGTTCGAACAGGACCAACCACACAAAATATCCTCTCTGCTGCAGCTGGGGAGCATGGTCTCAAGTGGAGCCTCTGGCAAAGAACATCAGGAGAAACCCTGTGGTTTTGGAGCCGGAGTTATTGAGGATCAGAGGCCCACTACATGCCAACTGAAAAGGAGATATTAGCAGCCTATGAGGGAGTTCGAGGCACCTTAGAAGTTGTTGGGACAGAAGCATGTCTCCTCTTGGCACTGCGTTTGCCTGTGCTGCACTGGATGTTCAAAGGGAACATCCCCTCAATACATTACGCAAGCAGTGGAATAAGTGAGTAGCTTTGATCCCACAATGAGCCTGAATGGGAAAACCCAGTTTTCTGGGAATCCTGGAAGAAATTATGGACTGAAGAAAAGGCAGAGATTTTGGAGCACTGCCTGAGGAGGTGACTTGTGCTCAAGAAACACCACCATATAATGAGTTATCGGAAGACGAAAGAGGCTATGCTCTATTTACTGATGGATCTTGCCATGTGGTAGGAAACCATCAGAGGTGGAAAGCTGCTGCATGGAGTTCCACACGACAAGTCATTAAGACCACTGAAGAGGGCAAGTCAAGCCAGTTCGCAGAAGTGAAAGCCATCTAACTAGCCCTTAAGACTGCTGAACAAGAAAAGTGGCCTGTACTGTACTTCTATACTGACTCCTGGATGGTGGCTAATGCCATGTGAGCATGGCAGTGTGATACACTGAGAAAATGATTCGAGCTAATTAAGAGAAAACAGTATAAGGTCAATATGGCCTGGAGAGAAAAGAAAAACAAGTCGTAAAACTTAATTGGGCCCCTATAAAGAGATAAAACAAGTTACCTCCCTTTTACCTTGTGTAGGATTTATAGTGAGAGAATTTTGTTTAGTTAGCTAGATAATAGCACCTTTCTTAAAATTTATAACTTTGTATAGATAACAAGCGAACATCTGCTGAAAGTCTGATTTAACAATATATTATGGATGCTTATAGATAACATTCTTGTTAAGAAATATCTGTGGAATGTCTGACCTAACAATGTGTAATGTTTATACTTATGTACAATGAATATTCATGTAGTAGCTGGAAATAAATGTAGAACAAATGTCTTCTTTGGGTGTGACAGGCGTTGGGAGTTGTTGAACCCCTTCCCTGATCACCCAACGCTGAATTTGCTTTTATCATATAATAAAACTCTGATTGGAAATTGCCCGACTGGGTTTCTATTTTTCACAGCAGCAATGGAAGAAGGCCAATTGGCAACACAGGGGTAAACCCATCTGGACTGCTGCATTGTGGCAGGACATCGCTGCACAAATGGAAAATATGACTCTGAAGGTACATCAGGTAGATGCTCACATGCCCAAAAGTCATGCCACTGAAGAACATCAGAACAATAAGCAGGTATCTAAGGCTGCCAAAATTGAAATAGCACAGATAGAACTAGACTGGGGGAAGGGCCCATGAAACATCAGGACATCTAGGAAGAGATGCAACAATGGGCTCATGATCCATGGGGTCGTGACCATGGAGTCCATCACGCAGATCATTCATGAATGAGAAATGTGCTGCAGTGAAGAGAGCTACACATGTAAAATTACCCTGGAATAGAGGGAACTGGGATTTCTGATATGGTGAGGCCAGGCAAACTGACGCCAAGGTAAGCGTTACATACCACAGTGAAGCAACTACTGGTTGGCTGGAATCAGATCCTGTAAACCAGGCCACTGCTCAAAACACTGTCTTAGGCCTTGAAAGGTACATTTTGTAGCAACACGGTACTCTACAAAGAATTGAATCAGACAGGCTCACTTTCGAAATAACCTTATAACCTCTTGGGCAAAGAAACATGGCATTGAGTAGATATATCCCATCTCCTATCACTCACAAGCCTCTAGAAAAATTGAGAGGTATAATGGACTACTGCAGACTATGTTAAGAGCATTAGGCAATGAGGCATGGAAGCACTGAGATGCTAATTTAGCAGAAGTCAGCTGGCTGATTGATTTACACTAGAGGATCTGCTAACTGCCCTGGTCCCAACCAAACAAAACCCCTGCATACTGAGGGGGGAGGTAAGCTCCCCATACTACACACAGGGAAGCTGAGTGTGGATTTCTCCTCCCATGGGAAAAGGCAAACCCATTTGTGGGATTGTCTTTGCTCAAGGACCTGGGTGTACTTGATGGGTAATGCAGAAGGATGGGGAGACCTGGTGTGTGCCTCAAGGAGATTTAACCTTGGGGGAAAAATAATCTGTGGTGGAAATTGTATGTTGCAGGAATGACATGAACCAATGAAGAGTGGATTTTGTGAGGTGCAAGGAGAGCATGACAATGCCCTGAGCTGGGCTATGGTAGTGTCCAATGATTGAGTGTGCTGCTGCTCCTGTCCTGACCACCCATCCTGATGGAATGAAGTCCCAGTCATGGCCTGGTTTTGAACATCTGGAGGGGTGGACGAAGCCCATGAAATGGGAAAATAATAGCTATCTGTAAAAGGACAGGGGATAGTAGTTAATGCAAATGTATACATCTGTATGCAAGGTCAACCCACTACAGCCCCTCTACTTCACTCTAGTGAGACCCTGGAGTACTGTGTCCAGCTTTGGGGCTCCCAATGCAGGAAGGACATCCACCTGTTAAAGCAAGTCCAGAGGAGGGCCACCAAGTTGATTAGAGGGATGGAGCGACTCTCCTGTGAAGAAGCTTTAAGGTCCCTTGCAACTGTTGAGGAATACATCCGGTGCAGGTAGCTCATTTTGCAAGCTGCAATTCAAAGATGCAGACTGAGATGCAGATTGAGCTCTAGCTAGGAGCCAAGAGACCATGAACTGCCAAGCCAACTCTTTGCATAACAAAGGGCATGAAGTCCGATGGTACTAGCCAGGTGAGTGGACACAGAGCCACATCAGGAGCCAAAGATTCAGGAGGAAGAGCGAGACTTGCTGGCACTTAGACTGTGAGGGTATAAAAGCCCAAGGGTTCCTTTGTTGGAGGTCCCTCTTCAGAGGCACCAGCTGGGGCTGTTTCTGTGTGACTGCGCTGTGAATAAAGTGCTTTATGGAATGAGACATCTGAGACTCTGCTATAGGAAACGTGAGGTCGAACCTGTAAGGAAACCTGGTCTGACTGCATGTGAGTGGGGTTTGTAGGGAGTCAAGCAAGGCAGAGAGCCATCAGCTCACTGGAGCCACTCGCAGTGAAGGGGCTTTGGTCCCAGCAGTTAAAGTCTCTGGCACTGGGAGCGTGACTGCCAGAGTCTGGTGAATGGTCAGATTGGGAAGTTTCCTTAACACAATCCAGTCCAATCTATGATTCTATGATTTGCTCAGAAGTTTGCTGACACCCAAGCAGCTCAAAAGCTCAAAAGTGCAAACAAGATACAAATACATAACAAAAGCAACTTTCATTTTCCTTTAAACATTGAGATTCTTTGTATTTATACAAAATACAGATCCTATCCCTCCTTCAGCACCAGACTGATCTGAAGGTCATTGATCTGTTCTCATTACCCAGGGGCTCCTTGAAACTGTTGTTGCCTTTGTTCCAAAGCTTGTTGACTTAACAGTTGCTGTTGTTTCTGTAGAAACTGCACTACTTCTGGGCTTCTGAGTAGGGACTGAAAGAAAGAAAGAAAGTGAACTTTACTTTAGAGAACTCACATATTTTAAATAGCTATATTATGTTTATATTATAATATTTTTCCATTAAATTAATTTGCGCATTACTCCTTGCTGTTCTTTAACCGTGGCAGACAACTAAGCAGCAGCCTCTGCTCACTCCCTCCCCTGCCCCCTCCCTGCTGTGGAATGAAGCACTGTTCAGCAATAACTAAAACAACACTACATTATTAACACTCTTTTCATCACAAACCCAAAGCGCAGTCCCATACAAGCTACTGTGAAGAAAATTAACTGTATCCCAGTCAATACCAGCACACCCATCCAAACGAGAGTTCAATCAAATGCAGAATTACAAAACACACTCACAAGACATCTAGGCACTGTTTCAAGACACCACCAGGTAACCAGAAGCAGCATTAATACACATCCTGAAAGCAGGTTCATAATGTAAAGAATATACAATATTGCAAAAAAACCAAATATATCAAACAGGAATAATCTAATGACATACTGAAAACAAACACCTCTCAATTGTGTCTTCAGTTTTACGCCAATTTCTATATTTCCCACTGCAGATAGCTCAAAAAGACTATAATAAACAAACAAAATACTGTAATTCTGCAGCAAAGCTCACATTCCTATCAAGAGTTCAAGCATCTGGAGTATTAGCCACATGTTTTAGTTTTAGGTAGACCTGCAAGGAGCAGGGACTTGGACTCAATGATCCTTATGGGTTCCTTCCAACTCGGGATATTCTATGATGCTGTGTTCACTGAGTGTGCAGAATTTCCCAACACTTCAAAACAGCAGTCCAGCCAGAAGGACTGAAAATTGTAATGGAGAAGCCAAAGAAACTGTAAGTACTGAATTATTTTCCTTCATTGGGCCTAATTCTTTAATGGAGTAACAAAGTGTTTAAAAACTCAGAACACATGCCATTCATGCACTCTACAGATGAGTCATACTGTTTACAGTTTATTAACACATACATACACAATCTTAAGTGTGATATATCTACAACTTCTAAAACACATCAGAGTAATTAAAGCTTACATCAGACATCAGTCCATACATTGTTCTACCTAAAGCTTTGGTTTAACAAGCTAAAAAACCTCAGTTATACTATAAGCACTATTTACACTGAAGAAATAACTATGCCTGTTTATTACTACCATAATACACAACTTCAGTTAATGTGGCAGTGATCACTAAATTCAGTTATCTTAGTATTCTTCACAGAGAGGCCGAGGCACATATCTGCTCTGCAGCATATTTCAGATTTGAAAATATGCACATGTAGTGAACAATCTTAAACTGATCTTCTTTCACAGCAATGCCAGTTAAGTAAATAAAGGTGGTGTAACAATTTTTGAGTTCAAAACCTCTACGAAAACAAGACTTACCAGCCTTTTTTTATTCAGTACTTGTTCTAAAAGAGTAGGTCTTGCTGGGCGATCTCCAATGGATCCTGTTCTCTGCTTTGTAACAGGAACTGAACCTTCAACACTATCCTGCACATGAAAAAGAGAAATTGAGACTATAAACTCTGATATAGTGATACACAGAAAATCCCAAGAGTAAAGAACATTTGCCTCCTAATCTGCAGAGGAAAGTAACAGCACAGGAATGGAAATTTATCTATTCAAGACTGGGCCTCTTCTTTCCACATCCTTTCACCGTTTCACCAGTCACAGCAAAGCAATGCAGCTGATTTAAGTCTTACACACTGCAAAAGTAACCAGGTTACTAGGGCTAGTTGTAGCCTTGAATTTATTTGACTGAATTTCTTAAAAAAGAAGTCACTTACAACAGTTCAGTCTCCAGCTTCTGAAAGTGAGTGATATTTACCATTTACAACTGGGTAGGAATGACAATACTTCTAGTACCAAAACAAAACATACTTCAGAACACTATTATGAACTTGCTAAAGCCCCAGGCTTACTTTTCTCTTTGCAAGTTTATTCTGTTTGTTGTACAATCACCAGTCATCTGAATTAGACATATGAATACAATATGGCTCTACAATCCGCTCTGAAGAAAATATCAATGGTTTGGAAAATTTAAACCTATGTTGAATTCTTTGTGTATTAAATTCATAACTTACTGACACTTCCATTTACCTGAAAGGGATCAAAAGGAAGAACAAAGTATCCCAGTATCTTTCACTTCAATCCTGTCCACAGAAGTCAAAAATGAAAACATCTACTGGGAACCTAACTCTCACCCCACAAGACAACAGTATCTTGTGAAGTCTTAACAGAGACCACTGCAAAAAAGCATACTAAGTTTAGGACTAAATATCCTGCCTTATTCTGCAAGTTCAGGCCTTAATTTCATAACATTCAAAGCAACCTGCATTTGCAAAACCTGGGAAAAAAGCAAGCTCACTTTCTTCCAAAATGCAATAATCACTATTTCATGTTACAGATCAAAAGATTTTAACCCATCACTATGCAGTATGCTATGATTTTACCCTTCTCCCATACTGTCCTTTTTTCTGAACTAGCAAAAGTATTTCTGTAGACTGAGCAGGAAGTAGTTCTGTAGACCCGGCTCTGAGCAGGATGAACTATCAGAGAAGAAAGAGAGAAGAGGGGAAGTCATGCCAGTATATAAATCTAGAATTCATTTTGATCTTGACTGAATACTGTGTGCAGCTTCTGTTCCCTCACCTAAAAGAGAAGTAGCCACTAGAACTAGAAAAGGTTAACAGAATGGCAAGGCTAATAAAAGTATGTAACTTTTTCCTTGAAAACAAGCATGTTAGGCCTTTTCAATGCAGGAAGGAAACAACTTAGGAGGCAAGTCTTAAGTGTCACAAACTGAACAGAATTAGTTGTTCACTGTATCTTCTCATGTAAACACTAACTGGCAAATCAGGTTGACAGCAGTAAGATTCAAAAACAAGGAGATCATACAAACCAAGCAGCAGACCTGAAGAAACTACCAGAATGTAACAGATGCTCAGAGCTTACACAGTTCAACAAAAAATCCAAAATACTACATGGAACAGGCATTACTTAAGAGCTACAAAACCTACACCTATTTCAGCAAGTCCTTTGAACTGAGAGAGAAGATGAGAGAATACTTCTTAGCAGCATCATGTACACTTCTCTTTTTTAATGCACCTGCTTCATGCCAGCTTTTACAGCTACACAAAAAAAGACTCTTTAGTGTGACACCCAGTATGGTTACTATTATATTTATATGAAGAAAAACAGAAAAAGGATAAGTTTTTTGGTGGTTAAGTTTGCAGTTAGATCAGTTGCCAGCCACATAACTGGAGAGACAGCTGTGCTGACATAAAAGGGTTGCTTCTAGCTTAAGTGTCAGGCAAGCTTATGTTTTTTTCCTTCTGGCAATCACTATTTTATAGTTGCCCCTTTGAGCACAAACTAGTCAGCACCTTCAAGAGTAAAACCATTTCCCTCTTTCTGTCTCATCTAAATACAAGATCTTAAACGCTAACTCTGTAACAAGTGACCAAAAATGTGAAAATGTGTGATCCTGGCTGTGTCAGTAACTGTAGAAAAAAAAACTATTTAAAAAGTCGAACGTTACCATCAGCTCTCCCACTGACAATTTTTCCCCATCTAAACAATACACATAAGCTTATAAAAAGTAAGTATGAACTAGCAGTGGTCTAAATATATAAATGCCACATAATATAAAAAATAATAACCGAAAAGCATCTTGAAAAACCTACACAACTGATTCTTATATACAATATAACCTGATATCTAACGGCCTTTGTGACTTTAAAACTTATTTCAGTATCAACTGAGCAAGAAATCTGACAAGAAGCCTCTCTTAGATCTATACTTTCACCCTTCCTCCTGTGAAAAAAACCACGCGCTACACAGCGAAGCATCCTCTAGCAAGAATTCTTTCCCTGGAATGTCCTGGTCTAGCTGTATGCTACTACAATTTATGTCAGAGAGTTAAGAAGAAACGGGCTTTGCTCCGGCAAACCGGAGGAAGAGTGAGCTGTAGCACCGCCCCACATTTCTGCCCTTTCCCCTGGCCAGCAAGATCCCTTTCCCGGGTCTGACAGGAGCCGATTTTCCAGGGAAGCCGCAGCCCCCGGGCACCCCCCGATGGGTGTCCCGGCCGAGCCCCGTCCGCCACCCCGCCGCACCTCGGCCCGGGAGCCTCACCCGGCAGGGTGCGCCGCCGACCCCTCCCCCCCCCAGGGCCTGCGTTCCTCTTCTTGCGTCTTGTGTACTCTGCTCCTGTAGATCGTGTTGCGGTGCCGCTTGCACATCAGGCTTGCGCTGGCTTCACCACCTGCATGGGTCTCGCTGCAGCCCTGGTACGGACAGCGCTTGCACTCCCGCCGCCGCCGCCTCGCCCGCTCGAGCCCCCGCCGCCGCCCCGCCTCTGCCTCCGCTCCTCCCTCCTAAGCTCCTCCAGCTGCCGTGCTCCGCCGCCCGCCGCCTCGGCCTCGGCCTCCTCCTCCCTCGCCTCGGCCCCGCGGGGGCCTCCCCACCCGTACAGCACCATGAAGCCGCCATGCTGAGGAGGGCGGGCAGCGGCCCGTTCGGCGCTCGACACCGGCGTGCAGCGCCACCCCGCCGTCCCAGCCGCCGCCTCCCGCGCGGTGGCCGCCGCTGCATCAGAGCAGCGCGCTGTTGCGGCGCGAGCGAGGGGGAGGGAGAGGCGGGAAGAGGAGGAGGGCGTAGGCGAAAAGCGGGGGCCGTTGAGCGGCGGGCGGGCAGCCCCGTGGGCGCCCCTGCCCGACCGCCCCGGCGCTCCCCGAATCTCGCCGCTTGTTCTCTCGCCGCGCTCCCCACGCGCGCAGGTCGCCGCGCGCGCCGCGCATGTGCCCGCCGTGCTGTGGGAGGGGGCGCGGCGGGGCGGTATGGCGGCGCCCGCCCCTTTGGGTGGTCTGGGGGGGTTCGCCTCGAGGCTGCGGCGGCGTACGATGGCTGGAAGCCTTGTTAGTCACGGCACAGACACCAGTGTGGTTTGGGCCGGTGTGACGTCCCACCCTTAAGGGAAAGGGAACACCCGAGATTCGTAAATGCTCATGATCGAAAGGAACGACAGAAGTCAAGAGGGTCCGCAAGCAATCGAAGTTTTATTAGTAAATTGCACACTTGGCATGGAAATCTATGTGTTAGCTCCTGACCTACTCTACAGGCGTATGGCAGTGGGTTTTGGATAAAGGGGAAGCCTGAAAGTGAAGAGAGAAAGGAAGAGATGAAGTAAAGGGGAGTGAGGGAGAGGGGAGAGACAGAAAGAAATAAAGGAAGGGAGAGAGAAAAAGACGTTCAGAATCCTGGGGGTGCCACCTGGGCTTGTGGGGATACCATTTCATGGATAGGTTTCCTGACCCTGAAGATAGGTTTCTTGCTTTCCATGTAAATTAGTTGTCATGTGCAGTCTGTTCTTTCAGATCTTTCTGGGAATGAGTTGGAGGACTTCAGGTGTCTTGGGTGGTCTTGATCCCCCGCTACTGTCCATGCCCATTTCTTGGCCTCATTCCTGGACTTGCACAGTACTGTGTTGTGCTTATCTCCAGAACAAGGGTGTTTGTCCAGAAAAGTGCTGCCCTACCTCCACATGTTCCCCTTCTCCAGTCACATCTTGTTCTTTGTCACAGCCTGTTAGTACCAACAATCCCTGTCTGTTAGTACCAACAGTCCTTGGTTGTCTCTCACAGCCATCTGGCTCTCTGTTCTTGAGACATACACATTAGCCCATTATCTTCTGGGGTTCTACACCCAGTCAGCCTGCTCAGCCTCCTGTCCTGCTCTGGTCCTGTGATGTCTGTACAGACCTAAACATTCCTGCTACTGATCTTCCGAAGTGCTGTCTCTAGGCTGTACTTGTGTCCTTGCTTTTCAGCCACTGTCACTTCAGATGGGGGACAAAGTGATGCGGTTTGGCTTCTCCCACTTAGCCTTTTTGTTTCCCCTAGCTTGCTGTTGCCACTGTAGCTTTCAGCATGCTGCTTCTTTCCCTTTCTTCCTTTGGAAATCGATTCTCTCTTTGAGTTACTTCTGGATGGCGGTTTGGATGCTTCTTCCCTATTACAAGGTTCATCTGAGCAGCTAAACTTATCTTTACCCAATTCCTGCCAAGTACATTTTTGCTAAGTAAATTTCTTTATTCTGCAATGTAAGTGAATGGTGTATCCATAATCTTAGATGTTTTGTCACTCCTCAATCTTGTCCTTTTCTCTGCAAAGCTCTTGCATTTTATTCCAAGAAAAACATTACCTGTAATGCAACTGTCGTGCCTACCTTCAGTATTCTTCTTACTTACTCTTTCTGTGTCAGGCACTGGATTTTCCTCACTCCTGCAGAGAAGTCCCACTGAATGCCATCTCCTTGATCTCCTGCTGTTTTCCCCCCTTCATTTTTCTTACCTCCTTACTGTCTGTGGGCTCTTGCCTTTCTCATTGCATGCATCGGTTAATCCCATATTAAAGAACAGTACTGACTCCATTTATTCCCTGGCAATTACCACAGTCCCCTTTTCCTTTCATTAAGGTAAATTATTATGCTGTTTAGAGTTGTACCATTCCATTTCACCCTCGATCTTGTCATAATACAGTTCTTCATTTGTCAAAATAGTTAATGATGTGGTATAGTCACAGGCAAATTACAGTCAACGGAGTAACTCTCTCTTCATCGCCTTTGACCCACCAGTCAACTTTAATATGGCTAAGGTGACTCCCAGCTGTAGTGTTTAAACTGGAATTACAAACTATTTCTTTTTTGGTCAGTGAAGACTTACCCTCCCCACATCTGCCTCAGTGTCTTCTTCATCTCTGTTACAGCCATGCTGGGACAACTTACCAGAAGCTTTCTTTAGAACTCAGCCTTATATCTGTGCCTGTAGTGAAACACGTAAAAGTTACACGTAGCCTTCTTTTTCTCCTACCTCATCTCTTTTATGTCAGCTCCTTAAGACAGAGGCTGTCACAAAATGTTTGGGTTTTTTTTTTCACATTATAGTTCCATTGAAATATTTTTTTTTTGCTTTAAATGCATCTTGAAAGAATTCCATCTTAAAATTCTAAGTGCTCCTGAAATTAATTTAAAGAAAAGTTCAAAGTAATAACAAATCAAAATCAATAATATTTTTCTCCAGCCACACTCCCTGCACGTATCCACATGGTAACTAAAAGAAATGGAAAGCTGATAACCTTTAAATCCTGGGAAGCAGAGTTGCTTGTGTCCTTCACTACCACTTCTCTGAAGCCCCACTGAGACACATAAGTTTGTCATGGGCCAGTCAGACCAGTAGACTGAAGCACTGAAAGGCTACATGAGAAAATTTTTCGTGGAGTTAGGGTTTCCAACCAAATGCTCTGCTGAAAACTCCCTCCGTTTTAGAATAAGTTGGATTCTGCCTTAGACACCCTGGTAATACATGGGGATTTCACTGGAGAGTGTGCCTGGAAGCATACTTCAACTCCATAGTTCTCATTTTCCTCATCTGAAGAACAAAGAGCAACAGAAAGCTGCAGAAAACCAACAGTACCTTACAAAGGTACTGAAAGGGTTAATTAATTAGCAAATGAATTTTATATTTAATGAGCCTAATACTGTATTGCAACGTGAAGTTTTATCCTGTTCTTTTTACCCCAGAACCTTATCATCTACTTGCTTTAGGGCATAGAATCATAAATAGGAATTAAATTAGTGTGAGCTAACAAATTAAGCCCTTCTTAAAAAGCTGCCATTGATGCTTTCTATTTTTATACGCCTAGTTCGCTCAGAAAAGAGAAATCTGTGATGGAAAAGAAATAAAGGAAAATAGTCCTTTCCTTGGGCTGCACTTCTGTCAGTCTGGCTCTTTGGGGAGGAATGTCATGTTTGGAAAATTTTGACACCAGTCTGTACATCATTGCCATCCAGCTGCATCATGTTTTGTCTCCCCAGCTGCAATTAAAAGGAGATGCCAAATACAATTATTGAAATCTAATAACTTAATTTGTCCATTTGCTGACATCTTGTTGTTTAAGTGGATTCTGTAATTTTCTGCTATCTCTTTTGTTTGTGTTTGTGAAATAGTTCATTTTAATTTCTAGATTTCTATGCTAGTTCTTAATATCCAGTTCTTAGTTGTCTTGGGAAACAACATGTATTAAAAAAACAGATACAGGTTATGATTCAGGAAGGTAATCATCATTGGAGAGGCTGATTTGTCTTACTTACAGACCAGGATAGTACTAATGATTATAGCTGAAGTAATATTTTCAAGTGTTGGAAGTTATTTTATCACTATTTGATTAGTTATGATATGAATTTTGTTCACTCAATATGTGTATCTATCTATCTGTCTGTCTATCTGTCTATCTGTCTGTCTATCTATCTATCTTTTACACAGAAGTGCATTTATCTTTATCATTTGCTGTAAGAGCACAGGCCATACTAAGAACTTCTATGAGATGTGGAACTATGAAATTCATACCTCCAGTGTTGTGATAACCCTACAAAGGAGACATAATCTAAATGCAAATTATCTCGTAACCTTATTGATATTGGTTATTTGTTATAAAATGAACAGGTTGACTCAAGGAGAGCATTTGGGTTTTTAAAACAGGAATGAATGGTACTCAAAAGATGCACGGGAATGAAGACTGCTGGAGGGCTGAGAATGAATAGTTTTTAAAGCACATTTCTTTAGAAACACATTGTTTGATGAGGGAATCAAAATGCAAGTATATATAGTCAAGAGAGATTTTTCTGCTTTGTTGTACCTTGTACTGCTTAGCAAACTCCCCATTTATTCTTCCTACCTGCTCTTGGGGTTCAAGTCAAATTGCACAGTGATACAGTCATGGAAAGATTCAAAAGCTCAGCAGTCTAAAAACAGATCTGCCCTCAAAGGAGGACAAAGCTCAGAGTGATCAATGTACTTACTGATACAAATGCCCAGGTGACAATGGGTGGTGAAGTCTTATGAATAATAGAAAGCAAAGGAATTCAAGCTGCTGTAGTCAGCCTGTTAAAGCTTGGTTTTCAGATAAGTGTACAAAAGTTTGATGCCAATTTTATCAAACTTTTCATTTTATAAAAATAAACATCCTCTTTTACACCATTCAAATATATTAAATGAGTATTTTCAGAAACTCATTAGGCTTTATGAATTACAGACAAATTTATTTTTGCAAATCATGGAAATAAAAAACTAAACAGAACTTTTGTTTGCATCATGGATATGTATTCTGGGTTTAGTGACGTGGTCCCAAAGGGAAAAAGGGGTTCGCCACTCTTGGGATGGTTGCAGAAAATGGCACTTTATTAA